AGCTTTGACTGATCACAGGTCGAGAATAAGGAGAGATGACTGACAAGATCATGCTGGAGTATTTGCTGCTCAACAGATTCTGAGCTCATTGACACATATCTGAACTTGTAAGATGTGCTCCCTTTAGTGCGTGTGATTGCAAAATCGAACTGGGGTGGGGGGATAAAAAAAAAAATGTATTCACACAACATTTTAATTTGTTTCCTTGTTTTAGGTAAATCATGGCCATCTTGTACTAATTCATTCCGTTGTTTTAGTAAAATCATGCCTAAGATGTAACTAAATTAAAATGAAAGAACAAATTAATAAAACTTGACCACAGTTCAATTAATTTTAGATTTAAAAAATTTTTTTTTTTAAATTGCCAATTAGTTTTTCTTGTTGCTTGTGCATTTTAGAGTGCAGTACAGAGCTTTGTCTACCACAGTGTCTGCTACTGGTGAATGTACTGGGTAAACTCTCCTCCCAGCCAGAGGAGGTCCTGCGGCTGTGGAGTGATGGCAGCCAGTTTTCGGAGGAAACTCCCAGGTACTTTCAGGGTGTCCGTGGGTCCTTAAAAAGTCTTAAATAGAATTTTGCTAATAAAAGGCCTTAAAAAGTCTTAATGTCTTAAATTCAGATTCGATGGGTCTTAAATATTTTTGGTCACATTACCGCTAAAACTTCTTCAGTCTGACGGACCTAATGACTGTTTACAATCATTGGACAGACCGACCAAATAATTTTTTTCTCCCCCGCGGTAGTTACTGCATCATCAGAGAGAAAGTCTCCGTTTACTAACGTAACCTCGGTTCCCTGAGAGCGGGAACGAGACATCACGGAGACATTTCTTCCCTTCCAACCTTTCCTGAAGTCCTATTGGCTCACGCCAGTCCAAATGACTGGCCAATTGTCGCGAAGTATGCAAATCGCATGCAAATACTGACGTGCTCGAGAGGGGATTGAATATCATTCCCATAACGGAGTAATGTCTCCGTGATGTCTTGTGAAAGCTCGAGAGGGAACGTCTCCGGTTAAAATTGTTGTTTTTCTAAACGACGGGACATTTCTCATCTGTTAGCTAGCTATTTTTCTCACGCACCTGCAGCGGACAAAACGTCTCCGGTTACTATCGTAACCTCGGTTCCCTGAGAGCGGGAACGAGACATCACGGAGACATTTCTCTATGGGAACACCTTCCCTTCCAACCTTTCCTGAAGTCCTATTGGCTCACGCCAGTCCAAATGACTGGCCAATTGTCGCGAAGTATGCAAATCGCATGCAAATACTGACGCGCTCGAGAGGCAGTATAAAATGCACGCGACAATTACATCAGAATCTGAACGCCGCTTTGCTGGCCGAGCAGCGAACATGGCGACCTCCGTGATGTCTCGCTCCCGCTCTCAGGGAACCGAGGTTACGATAGTAACCGCAGACGTTCCCTCTCGAGCTTTCACGAGACATCACGGAGACATTTCTCCGATATGGGAACGATATTCAATCCCGCCGTGAGTGAGGCAACGAGCAGCCTGTACAAGTCACATACTCAGCGAAGATAGAACACACAATTCCCACAACCAATAGCGACGCTTGTTAGGCGGGCTCATAGCTGATAGGTGTAGATAAGCCAATGAGCGTCTAAAGCCCAGGTATACGAAATTTGCATATCTGGTCAGAGATAACGTATGCTGCGCTGAGAAACAGGGTAGAAGCAACAACAACCTGCACAGAGATAACAGTGTTAAGCAGCAGTATAACATATTACATGATGATGGTACACCAATCGAATTAGACATTGAATAGCAGGAGCTGCACTGAGTACAGGGCAGACAACAGCAACAATAGCATATAGGGCTGCGCAGAGTAATTACTGTGTGAGACAGCAAACACACATGAATAGAGGTAGCATAAACGTGTATCAGTCACTCACCGACAGCACTTGGGAGGCTAAGGACTGAGCGTCCAGCTTGTAAAACCTGGCGAAGGTATTCTGAGAAGACCAGCCGGCTGCAAATAGGCATGGGCCGGTATGAGATTTTGACGGTATGATAACCTTAAGCAAAAATATCAC